TATGTATGTGTATGTATGTATGTATGCTTGCATGCATGCATGCATGTATGTATGTATGTAATGTTATGTATGTAATGTTATGTATGTAATGTTTTGCATGTATTGTTATGTATGTAATGTAATGTATGTAATGTTATGTTTGTAATGTTTTGCATGTAATGTTATGTATGTAATGTTATGTATGTAATGTTATGTATTGTTATGTATTGTTATGTATTGTTATGTATTGTTATGTATTGTTCTGTATTGTTATGTATTGTTGTGTATTGTTATGTATTGTTATGTATTGTTATGTATTGTTATGTATTGTTATGTATTGTTATGTATTGTTATGTATTGTTATGTATTGTTATATATTGTTATGTATTGTTATGTATTGTTATGTATTGTTATGTATTGATATGTATTGTGATGTATTGTGATGTATTGTGATATATTGTGATGTATTGTGATGTATTGATATGTATTGTTATGTATTGTTATGTATTGTTATGTATTGTTATGTATTGTTATGTATTGTTATGTATTGTTATGTATTGTTATGTATGTATGTTTGTATGTATGTATGTACCTATTTCGAACACGTCCTGAACACATATTGGACCAAAATCACTTGGGATGTCGCAATTTCAGATGAATTACAGTATAGATTTCTCAGCCATCAGACAATGTAAAATTGAGACATCCAATTAGGTTCGCTCACAATAGCTCCGCAAAACTCCCTGTATTTAAGGAAGTCCATTTTGCAATTTTTTGAATGGTTTCAGTAGTTCTCCTCATGCCCATGATCTGTGGCAATTCCAAGATTTGTGACCTTCAAATCCACATTTCACCATGGCTGATCTTAGATACCTATGACATTCCTCCATGACTAGAGATTAAAGTCTCAAACTCTCCTTTCCTCACCCATATGAAATCCCATGATTGGTTTACATGTTGATGGTTGATCATCCCCAATGCATAAACATCATATCAAGTCATATCATGTCATATCATATCAATTCACGTATATATATATATACATAATTATACACACATTTATCATATTTATATCATCATAAAAAATATCATCATATTTTTCTCACGGTGGGCTTTCTACCCCCAGTTTCAGCCACATGTTTTCGACGACTCGCCTTTCTGCAGAAGCTGGCTGATCTGCGTCGACATCCTGGCGTCCCGAGGAACTCTTGGTTGAACCTATGGGGGTTTACTAACCCAAAAATAACTTAGGAACCCCCTTTCTTGGGCTATTGGGAGCACAGATTCGAACTTACGATTTACAAGAACTTTGGGGGTAAAATTGGGGGGCAATTGACGCGCGATCCCTTTGGGGGCGACGCAAAGAAGCAGCCAGGGCTTATTCTTGGGTTGATATGAAGCATTCCTTTACTTACCAATGAAATGAAAACATCTGTGTAAATGGGTAGGCTCAAAATAAAGTTGGGCGTGGTGCTCAGGACTACGGGGTCGCTGGATTGTTGGCTGTGCCACCACTCTGTTGGTATTTTTAGGCTTTCACATACATACCCATTTTTGGCAAACGAGTTTCTCCGTTCGGTAGAACATCTCCGTTTTTCAGCTGATCGATCAACCCTTGTTTCGTGCCGCAGTCCAACTTTAGTCGCTCCAATCTCCATTCTTCTTGCAAAAACACAGTCATTTCTGCTCAAACATCCAAATTGTTCTTCGATTTGGCTTGAAACCATCCGAAACCCTCCTAAACCATCCTAATGGGAAAATCATCCTGAAAATGGAGGGTTTTAATGGGAAAATCTCCATCCTAAACCATCAAACCTACCTTTTTACGGCCGGCCTCTTGCCGAAGCCGTGCACGTTGCCGGGGTCGATGGCTTTGCAGGGCCGAGAGACGATCTCGAGGTCTCCCATCCTGCAATGGTTGGCGTTGTTCGAAGCTATCGTGAAACTATCCATTGATGATACCCTCCGGTAAACTAACATAACTATGGAAAATCACCATTTTTAATAGGAAAATCCACTATAAATGGCCATTTTCAATAGCTATGTTAAATTACCAGAGGGTATATCCCACTATAATCTCACTATTAATAGTATCGTATATCCACTGTAGTATGATGGTATCCCACTATTATCTCACTATTATCTCACTATTTTTTATGTGGTAACCCAATCATTAACCAACATGAATAGTGGTTCAATAGTGGTTTAATCACTATTAAATGGATGGTGTATCCATTGATGATATCCTATATTGATGATATAGTTTCACACTATTATCACACTATTAATAGTATGGTACAACCATGGGGAATATGAAAATCGGATATTGATGGTTAATGATCTTATGTAATATCTGGTTGGTGGTTGACCTATCCCTCTGAAAAATGATGGAGTTCGTCACTTGGGATGATGACATTCTCAATATATGGACAAATAGAACATGTCCCAAACCACCAACCAGAATAGTATGGTAGATCCACTGTAGTATGATGGTATCCCACTATTATCTCACAAATTGGTGGTATATCCATTGAGGATATATTCCACTATTATTTCTCAACTGTTCTTAACCACTAGCCAACCTGTTCAGGAAACTTGTTTTGAGATACTGCTAGCGATGAATATTTATGACTTAAGACTTAGTTTGTGACCTTTGTTGTTGTACTCGAATGGGCTGCACTGTATAAACACAATCCAAGAAGCAACAATGACATGGTTTTGCCACACAATAATGACAATGACCATGTGGTGTCTACTTATGGATTGCTGCAACTATGTGCATTTGTGAGTCTGAATAGCCATTGAACAGCTTTTGCGAGCGCCCTGACCCAAACGTGATAGCTGATGACAAGTTTCCTCACTCAAATTGGTAATTTGCTGTAAATCCGCTACTTTCAAGCACGCCATATCATATTTTTTCTTACAAGTCCCACTATATCCTCATCAAATTTTGTTGTTCGTCTTCCATGATTTTTTCGGGTTGAATCCCACTCGATCCCCAGCATATTCGCATTCAAAATCACATTTGATTTGGTTTTGTCTAAGATTATCCAAGATTATATAACAAGATGAGAATTACAAAATGATCAAAATGATCCAAATGATCCGGTACCCGCCAGTCATCAAATATAATATAGCCATGGAACATGGTAACTTTGGGTAAATCGAACTAAATGGGCGGGCCAAGGCTTCCATGGCTATGTTGAATTACCAGAGGGTATTCTGGTGTAATGTGGGATAAACAATGTCATAAACCTGCCATTTGGGAATGGTAACCATGCCTCCTACTTATGGTGAGATTGGGGACATCCCATTGATTCAGCAGGGCACATCCCATATCATCCCATTACTATTCCACTTAAAAAAAATCCTAAACTTCAAGGAACACACCCCATATCCCACAATACAATCTTGATACTTCAATTCTCCCTTTATCATCATATTTCTTGATTCTGGATAATTTTGAACATATTTCACTAACCTGAATTGTTGGGCCATAAAAGGGGATGATTTCCCTATAAAAACCCTGATTCCAGGGCTCGGGAGAACAGTTCCGCCCAGGCCTCAGGCGAATTTTGGTGCCCAGGGCATCACCTGGTGCCACCTTGCGAAGGTGGAACAGCTTCAACGCCAAGACGTACCTCCACGGCGTATCCAAGGCGTTTGAGCGAGACCAATGGGGGTGGATCAAGCTATTTCTTGGTGGTGTATAATGCTTTAGCCTCTGATCATATAGTTCTTGTCAAAAAATACATGGAAATAGATGGGTTTATATGGGTTTGTATGGTCTTGACGGTCTGTATTTTTCTAATGGCTAGGGTATGGGGGGGAATGGCCATCACAAAAATAAAGGATTCAAGCAGCGGGGAAGCCATTTGAGCAGCTGAGAACAACATTAATCGGATTCAACTTTTTGGTTACCCAGATTGGTGAAATCATGTACAATCCGGGGCCCCCCAGTTATAAGTTGGTTTATAACCCCCACTACAGTAACTATAGCTGGTTGGTGGCTTTAACCATCTTGAAAAATATGAAAGTCAATGGGAAGGATCACATCCCATATGAAATGGAAAATCAAATTCATGTTCCAAACCACCAACCAGATAGTTATATCTACCATAAACCATAGTTAGATTCCCAGCCACGGCTCTTCACATCCCATGCTCAGCTGGCAGCTCAACTGGCACTGGCTCCCCGGCGCACGTGCCGCTGGTTTGCGGGGCTTTCCCGACGGACTGGTCGGGTGCCAGGTCGCAGAAAATGGCACACAGATGTATAGCACCTGGGACACCCAAAATGTGGGGGGGCAAAACATGTGTTGGTTCAATAGGAATATGTCTTTCTTGTGATTTGGGATTCCATTTCTGGAGTCCCATCTTTCTTCGAAGGAATTGAAAGTTGGGGATTCCATGAAACCCATTTCTTTTAGGGTCCGGAATTGTTTGGGGATTTTGTTGCCGTTTTGGGATTTTCTTTTGGATCTCCTGTTCTGTCCGTATTCCTTCGTTTTCCTTTGCAGCATTTTCAAGCTGAAACCTGCCATTGAAACAGTGTTTGCAACACTTTGGAGTTCGAACTTCTCATTTTCCATCGTATTTGCAACATTTTGGTGCTCGAACTGTGCATATTGTATGGTATTTTGCAACTAGGGTGCATTTAGGGTTGGTTTGGGATTTCTTTAGGGTTGGTTTAGGGTTTATTTAGGTTTGGTGGAAAATCTATTTAGGGTTGGTTTAGGATCTATTTAGGTTTTATTAGGGGTTAGTTCACGATTGATTAAGTGTTTGTTTACAGTTCACTTAGGGTTGATTTGGTTCTTTTTTCGGATTGGTTTGGTGTTTATTTAAGGTTTTGTTTAATACATAATGTCTCTGAGGGTTTCTTAGGGGTCGTCATTTAGTCTTGAGAAGCAAAAAGCAGAAAAAAACAGAGAAACAGAGATGCAGAGAAGCGGACAAGCAAAGAAAAAGAGCAGCAGAAAAGTGGCTTTGTGCATAGAGCCTTTAGGACACGAGAATGAGAGATCCTGCGCCCAAAAATAACAAAGGTTTGAAAGATCCTTACGCAGATCCAGAAACATCCCGTTTGGTGGAGATCCGTGGTGACTTTTTGGGATCGGGTGACTTCCCTGGGATCCTTTCACACGGATTTTGCGGTTGCATTTAAAACATCTGCAGTGATCCTGTAAATTACTTCAAAATGAAACTTAAACCAACCCTAAGTAGGCCCTAAACCGACCCGAACCCAACCTTAAACCAATTCTAATCAAACTGGAAATGATGCCGAAAAATGGTGGAATGTTAGTCTTAGTCTCATTGGACTTGTCCAAGGGAAACTCTGCCGGGGGGCTATCCACATAGTGAGCCACACCCTATGGACAAGGCCAACAAAAAACCTGGTGATTGGTCTCGCAGAAGACGGCATCCATTGCTGTGTCGGTTCTGCGCACTAAAGATACCCATTCTTTCCGAATCAGACATCCCTGGCTTCCATCCTTGTCACGCTGACTATATATATAAACTCTTGTGGGCTGGAAACCTGTATATCTTTTTGGCTCTATTGCCATTTCTGCTGCTTGAGCTACGGAACATGATTGCAACAATCATAAGGAACTTTTCTCGTAAGACTTACATTTCCGAGTAAAGATCATTGACAAGCCTGAACGTGATCTGGGCAAGCTTGACCCAATATAAGAATCATTTATGGTGAAGGCGGCCACTACCCTCTGGTAAACGTTTACATAACTATGGAAAATCACAATTTTTTACGGGGAAATCCACTATTTCTATGGACATTTTCAATAGCAATGTCAGCTATTACCAGAGGGTATACCCCTGTTGATTGGTTAATAGGTTGAACCTTTGGCTGGTTGTTGAACCTTTTCATTTCTGGCGATGAATTCCCCCGAGATTTGCTACGCAAATCGTAAAAAAATCGTGGGTAGCATCACCATTTTCATTTTTCATTCTGACTAGATCGCTACTTTTTACAAGACCATTTTTTTGGGTTCACCTATTGAACCATTTGAACCCCATTCAATTCTTGGGGGGTGCACCCCAGCTAGTAAGTGAGTAAGAATCACAATGTAACTCACTATAGCATATGAGCTATATATATATATATACAGTATATACATATAAATATAGATATAATATAAATATATATATATATACATACACACGTATGAATTGGCAACCACAAAAACTATCCCATTCAGCCTCCATTTCCCATGATTTCCCATTTTTTTGCATCAAATCCTGGGAGTTTTCCCCTTTTGCGAGGCACTTCCCTCAGCTTCGCCGTTTCCGCCGTGGCCGCTGTCGTTGGTCGCCAGCTCCAACCAGCGCGCCTCGCCACATTTGGCCGCCAGGTCCGCCACGCTGCGGATGCGGCGCGGCAGCTCGGCCAGTTGGATGTCCTACCGCGGTGATTTGATAATTTATAGTCTATTGTAGTATATATATATAACAATCATAGAAATAATAGAAATGATAATAATAATAATAACAATAATGATAATAATAATAATATATATATATGTATTACATTATATACATCTCAGGATTTGTTCAACTATAACCCCCCAATCAAATCCAATTAAACCCCATTAAACTTCGATTTTTCTTGGGGATCTTATGAAGGAAATCCCAGCTTTACATAATATACATATATGTATATACATACACATACAATCACATATATATAAATATATTATATACATATGTACACACATATGCAAATATATATATAATATTATATAATATTATATAATATTATATTATATTATACTATATTATATATTATATACTATATATATATATCTATGTGTATATATGTATATATATAAAAATATATTATATACATATACATATATATATATATATGTGAGAATATCTGTGCTAATGTATATGCCTAGTTAGATGGCTTATTCAGCATGGTGACATCTAAACTTTTTATCCCATGTCCCACCCAACCCATCGGTTTCCGATTCCACAGCGGAAGTAGCGGTCCTGTCTCAAGACATTTTCATCAAAAATCTGAAGCTTCAAATCCTGACGTTCCTGGTCTCAAGATATGGAGGTGTCATGGACCAGTATCACACCAGGGCATACCAAATCAAACCATACCATTATACATTCAGCCGCAGATCCAATCACATCCAATCCCATCCAATCACATCATGACATATGCATGAATATCATCAATAGGGCTAAGAATTTGGGTTCAATTTTCACCTTCCCATCCATGGTGGGTAACGAAACTGCTGCCACATGCTGCCACCCATCCCCAAGAAAGTCTGGAAAGGGATCAAACATGGACCAGGGATGTAAGTGGAAGACACGAAGACACCATGGACCAGCGACCCATAAAGCACAAACTCACCAATGATGAGAATGTACATGAATATCATGAATGTACCTATGACCAGACCCCGCGAAACATGAATTTATTGCTGACAAAGTTGGATATTCAATCAAAAAGGATGGTCACCTCCCCCCAAAAAATTGGGTGTCCATCAACTCACACTAAACTCACACTACCAACACCATCAACACCTCATTTCTGAAGTTTTTGGACCCATTTTAGGGACCCCCTGTGACACAATCAAGTCAGCTGAGAGGCGTGGTACACCAGAAAGACCAGGGCCGGATCCTGGCTCCAATCGGGTTTCAAAGTCCTGGCTCCAGTGGCCCCAGATGGCTCCAGATTCATCACATTTCATCACCAATACCCGAGTCATCCACATATCATGAATCAGAATGTATCAGAATGTATCACCTCAATCCACTCTCCAGTTTCCCATGTTCTTTGACTTCAAATTCTTTGTGGTCAAGATGCCGGTTATTTTGTATTGTTTGTCTGTTTTAATTTCCGCATGTTTACACTTTTTGATGGTGCAAATTGTTATCTTTAATGGCAACATCCGCAGTTTTGATGATTAACCCCTGACGATTTTTTCACACTGTAAAAGGCCTACCAATAGTAATGTGCATAATCATAGTAATGTGGTACCCCATCCCATTCGAATTATCATCCTTTTATATCCTCTTCATTCGTTTTTCCAAGATTTTCCAGTTTAACATGGCTGCTATTTCATGGGTATACCATGGGTATACCATGGTATTTACCTGGTATACCTATGTATACCTAATTTTAAGTAACACAACCAATTTTCGCGAGCGAAAATGGTATGAAAATCGTCGTGCATGGTAGATGACAGATCCATCCCCAGTGGCCCCTGAAAAATATGACTTCGTCAATGGGGTTGGGATGACATCCCATTTCAATGAAATGGAAAATTTCATCCAGTCATGTTTGAAAGCACCAAGCAGGAAAAAAACCCATATATCCCTATATTAGATGGTAGACAAATAGATCCATACATCATACTATATGTTTTTTTCTATGCTTTTCTGATGGTAGTTTACTCTGGCTATTGATCACTATACTCTATAGAAATCTTGGGATATCCCCATTATATGTGGTTTCCTAAAATTGTAGTACCCCCCAGTTCATTCATTTTACAGTCATAGGATTTCCATAGATAATAAACCATCCATTTGGGGTACCATGGCGTAGGAAACCTTCAATGATACCCCCATTTTGTGTGTGGAAACCATGTGCGGCACCTTGAGCATGAAGAGGTCCGAAGGGTGCGACCTCCCACAGTCACAGTGCAATACCTCGGCGATTTTTTTGGGGCAACATTCTGTGGGATTTTTTGGGGCAACGCTATGGGGATTTGATGGGGATTTGTAACTTAAATGTGGCTAAGACTTGGAATATCAAGAAATTTATGGGGAACCAACAACGGAGGTATAAAACCAACTATTCTATGGGGATATACAATGGAACAATAATGATAATATGTTTGGGAGTACAAAACCGATGACCAAACATAACATGGGTGACTGAAGGGTCTGTAAATGGGGAGTTCAACAATCAACACTGGGGAAATTTTATTGATTAATATGGATTTCTAAATCAACATTTGGATGACTTCCACGGGGAAAAACTGCAATGCATGGCATAATTATTGAATTTGAGAGAATTAACATATACTAAAACGGAATTTTACCAGCAAATGGTATCTTATTTGACCACCAAAAACGAAGCTTATTCCCATGGCAATCAATGGTTTTGTGCTGATTGCAAACAAACAAAATATACTGTACTTCATTAATTTAACGTGTGGCACACCTCGTTTGTGCCAGAATGCACACCGAACAAAGGTGTCTTCTCCCATCTGAGACCAGCCCTTTCTCTATGAGTTGAACATTGCCAAATGGTTGGGGACATATCAAAAGTTGTATCAAAGCAAGTGATATATATAATATATATATAATATATATATATATGCTTACATACACATTGGTATTAATGTATATGTATGTGAAGAACATTGAACAACCACATCCTATATGGGGGTGTCTGAAAATAGGGTAGGCCTTAATCTCCTAATTCTTCATCATTTTTCACCATGCCATTTTATGGGTATACCAACCATTTTCAGACAAACCCATATCAGATTGTTGATTATGTATCCCATTAGATCCAAGTAAAATTTCAATATATCCCATTAGAACCTCACTAAAATCACCATGAAATCACCATCAGTATCTATCAGACTCTTGATTATATATCCCATTAAATCCGAAAGAAACCACAACAAACTATCCCAGTAGTAAATCTCCATATCATATATAATTATATATAATAATAATATCCTCATTAAATGCCCATTACATCCCTATGAAATCCCTAGACAATCTCTTTGCATCCAACCAAATCTCACTAAATCCAACTTTTTTTGATTCAACCCCGGGTCGCCATGGATTTTCCAAGCTGCGGGTCGCTGGTACGTCCGCCAAAGCCCAAGTCCACGCCCGGCAGATTTCGGGCACCGAGGACCTGCACTGCACCATCGCAAATCATCAGAAATCATATATCAACTAATAGTGGTGTTAAATATTCACACACTCATATTATCGATTGTTTCGATTATCAGCAAAATTATGGAGATCCAATTATCTAATGGTCAAAACATGAGATTCATGCAAGAAACATAGAAAGAACTATAGCAGAAGTTGTATGGAGCAAACATGGAAATAACAGTAGCAAATATTCTGGTTTGTACCCCAAAACACCAGAAATATATGGGATGTAAATCGGTAAATCATGGAAAACATCTACCTTTTGGGTCACCAGATGTTACCAGCAGTTCTGTTGTGGACTCCGGTCGCCCGCACCTTCACCTGTAGCACGCCCACAGGCGGTGGGCAGCGGAAGTCCGGCATATCTTCGATTTTGGTGTTGGCAAAGCCTCACACGTAAAAAGCTGCCAAGATCCGTACGCTGATTCATCCACCAACTGAAAGATCTTGAACGGTTGAGGCAGCCGTGAATTTGCAACCGATTTTTTCCTGTAAAAAACATGGTTTACTTGGGATAGTTTTGCTCAAATATGCGAAAACTAGATTTACCTGTCCAGGCGCATTCGGAATTTTCCTAATCTGGACATGAGTGACACGAGCGATCCTCTGCATGGTCAACCCGCAGCCCCAGAGCCATGACGGCCCAGCAACGTTGTGTCATGCGTTGAGGCAAGACCATTACCTTGTGGGAAACAGAAGATGGAGGTAAACCATGAACACTGGGGATAACTGGCAACGTTATAAAGCATAAAACATTGGATCAGCAATAACTTTGTATTGTTTAATTACCATTTTAGGGTCAGTTCATGAATAATTACCACTTATTTTGTATTTTCTATTTCTCATTTCATATTCATCCACATGGTTCTATAAGTGCTAATTCATCCACATGAACAAAATTACAGTATTTTGTATGGATAAATACACTATTTTGATATTCATCCATAGTCATTCCCACATGAACAATACGTATCTTAGACTGGGTCAAAAAAAACCAAACCCGCAGCCTGTCGGCCTGCAGATTTCACCGGGAATGGAATCTCACCGGAAATGATAATGATATAAAATTAGGATTATACATATACACTTATAGTTAGGTGTATGTATATATATATATGTTAAATGTCATATATAATCATACATATGTATATAATAGACACAAATGTGTATATACAACAAACATTGTGACATTGTGATGTAACCATGCGTATAGGGCGAGATAGGCATCATCAAAGTCCTCAACTCTCCAGTCAGTTCCTCCAATCCTTTAGTGCCAAGGGTTTTGGGCAGTTGGGCAGTTGGGCAGTTGGGGGTAAGCCACATATTTTTTAAACATTGGTCGTGAATTCATGTGAATCTTATCAGATATCTTAGATATCTTCGATATCTTCATCAATGGTAAAATGCCTTGCTGGATCCCGAAAACTCTACAAATCTCACCAATCAACGAAGAACTGGTAAGCCAGGACACCCCATCAAGTAAGGTCAAGCCAGGATTTTCACAACCTCCCAGTTCATGAACTAGGGGATATCAAGGTACTCAGATCAAGAAACAATCAAGGTATTACACAATAGGTACCTTTTTTATATCTCCTAGTTATGTTCAGGGATGGTCCCCTATTGTGTAATACCAGGTTTTTTTTGCTTCATCCCTGACATTACACAATAGTTCAATAGGGACCACGTTCAGTTCGAGGGACCATCTTGAAGGCTTCTGCCATGATTTCGCTGACCTTGGGAGTCATGAGAGTCATCTATCTTTAGTGAGGCATGTGAAGCTTGGGTCTTTTGGGCAGTAAACAACACGTAAACACATGTCTATGGTGAGTGCTAGAAACCATACCCAAGTCTGAAAAATCTCGCAGGATGGCAGTATTCACATTGTGAACTGTGAACACCCTTGACTATGATATCTATGATCCAACCGAAACTTTTCAAAGAATTGAATAGATGAGACAACTGTTCACAACTTTGACTCCTTTCCATCACAAAAATGAACACATGGGTTTGTGACGGTTTGTGCGAAAATGAGATATACGCTATGTGCACCCAATCTTACCCGGCCTGGTAAACATTCACAGTTTGCGAACTTGAAAATGGCCCAGTCGAAATAGTGGATTTACCCAGCAATAAAATGGTGGATCTTTCCATAGCTATGTAAACGTTTACCAGAGGGTATATCAAATCATCATTTTCATAGGCCGATGCAAAAACAGCAACAACATCCACCTTGTCATCCACGGCAGCCCACCTGACACAGTTCGGTGACATTTTCCTACGCAGATATGATTGGTAGTAAAGCAATAATGTTTATTGTAAAACAATAGGATCCACAAACTCTGAATTTTCCATTTCGACGGGTGCAAACCATCAAACATTGGTTTTATTATCGATTTACTTGTGATTGAAGACATCCACATAGGAACTGTTCGGAACTGTTCGTCCCCATGACGGTTCCCTGCCTGGTGATGCCGCCCAAACCCGTCAACCCCACGCGCAGCTTCGGAGGGCTGCAGTAGAAGAGGTGGAAACCACCCAGGATGGGGGCCTTAGCCGTTGAATTTGGTGGCAAAGGTCTAGAGTTTTTGTGGGTTTTTGGGTTTCTTGAAGATTCTTGGATTTCTTAGTTTTTGAACGGATTTTTTAAGAAGAAACTCTGGAAATCTGACTTTACAGATGGAGAAACTCGATAGGCCATCATGGAAATCCATGGGTTATTGACCCCCCAAAAATGTGAGAAACCGTTACCCTCTGGTTATGTAACATAGCCATGGTATAGATGGCCTATTTATAGATGGTTTACCTATTAAAAATGGTGATTTTCCATGGCAAACTGTTAAATAACCAGAGGGTAACACCAATAAATAACTACCATTTGGGGGATTGTTGGAATCCTATCCATAAAAATCGTAAGTCATTGGGACAGGCATTGGGTTGACGCCGGGATCCTTGGCCTGGTCCATGAGCGGCCGAAAGATGATGCAGCCCACGCCTCGACAGTTAGAAAATGGTCACATGGCAATATTGGACCACATTGGATATCACCTGGGTATGGGTCAAAATTAGGTACCCCAATAATTGGATGGTTAATACTAAACTAGACTAACATCTGTGGTCCCCTAGGTTTTCCATTTTGACCCACATCCATCTGGACTTGAATCGCCAAAAACAAAAATTCACCGCGTCCGATCGCGTGGACTTGGAGACTCTCTCTACAGGGATGGACCAGGACAGCGATTCCAACAGCTGGATCCCATCCAGCTCCACTAATTCCAACATCAAATTCCTCCAAATCGGTCACAAGACTGAATAGATCACAATGGATCCAAATGATTTCAGCAGGGCTTCATTTGCGGCATGTTGGACATCACTAGGGGATAAATTTAATCAATCTTCGAGAGAAATGCCATCCACCAGCTCTGAAGCAAACCATGCATTGCAACATATTGCAACTCTATCAAGAAATCGTGCCCAATGAGTCAAGGTGGTGTCTTATGGTTGGTGTACTGACTTTCATTCAGAATCCAATCTGGATTTTGGCTCATTTCATCATCTAAGCCCCCAAAACATCCCAAAACTAAGTGTAGGGCTTAAATCTAGCAATGGGCAATTGATGGCAATTTTTTCCAATGGTCGAACTGGTCCAATGGTTATTGATGATTTCTATCCTGACTCCAAGCAACGCATGACACGCACCTGGCCATCCTGGACCCCCGCACCATCGATGAGAATTCGATCGATGCCAAAGTTTAGAGGACCAATGGCCAACTGCATGTCTACCTGGGTATAGAACCAAGCAGTTTCTATAGGTATTTCACCTGGTTGGTGGTGCAATAACCATCTTGAAAAATATGAGTCAATGGGTTCCGGATGACATCCCATATATGAAGTGGAAAATAATCCATTCATGTTTGAACCCACCAACCAGTAATTGTATTGAATGGGATATGTATAACCAAGAATTTCTTTTGGGGATGGGGTTATCTCAGTTATCTGGGATGAATCATGGGATGGGGTGAAAGATTCTGTTCGCCCAAGAGTAAACCCTGGCCAAAATTCGGATGTCTTCTGATATCAACAAACAATTCTTATGGGAGCTGCCCATGTGTCATCTCATGTCATCTCCTAAATTCTTATCGCCCAGCTTAGATACCCTGTTGGTTGCATCCCTGTACTGCATATCCCGATTCCGAAATTACCAATTCCTGATGAACCAAGGATCCAAATATAGATAGTTTTTAAGTTGGCACCATCCATCTAGATCCAAGTCTATTCGAATCTCCTTCGTTCATAGCTTCATATCATTGGTGTCCCTTTTTTGTCTTGTTTGAAATTAGCGTGCTCTCAATTTCGATGGTTTTAACGCCTCTTACAATCCCACACTGAAAATGGCAATCTTCCGGGTCTTTTCCAATTTCAACCAAACCCATATATCATATATTATATTATGTTGGTTATATACCTGTTGTATCCAGGTACATCCCCATGATATAAATTCATATATTGTGGTGCTGATCCCCGTAAAAAATAACCCTATTCACAGAAAATGTCCCCAGAAAATGGTGGGTTTCTCCAAAAAAAAGTGAAGTCTGATATTCATTAGCCACATGTTCATGGCAAATCCTGCACCAGTTGGTAACGGTCAAGGGGGGATTCCTAGAAGAAACACTGTTTTTTCCATGGATTGCTCTACGAGCAAAATCATCTTCCACTCTGGGTAAATTTGAACATCTTTGACTAACCTGAATTGTTGGGCCATTTTGGGATGATTTCCCTATAAAAACCATGATTCCAGGGCTCGGGAGAACAGTGAGGTCGTTATAATTTACCCAGACAGTATCATGAATACCCGGCCTGGTAAACGTTTACATAACTATGGCAAATCACAATTTTTCATGGGTAAATCAACTATTTCTATGGCCATTTTCAAGTTCGCAAACTGTGAATGTTTACCAGGCCGGGTATCCCACGTTTCGGCTGTCACGCTCCCCTGACCTTGGCATCCCAATGCATCTTGCCGCAGACCTCGATGCCATCCTTCACGCACCTGAGAAAATAACCAAAATGGGGACAGCATTATAATGGTTAATAATGGTTAATAATGGTTATATTATATCATATTATACTATATAATATATAGATTATTAACCATTATGATTAAGAAAATATAAGAAAATCTTGGGGCAACATGGAGATGCCAAGGGCGGGCAATGAGCAAACACAGGTTTTTCCAACAAGGTGACAACGATCGGAGAAGGTGAATGTTCTGAGGATTTATGTGGCAGCTGAGCAGTGCAATGTGCCTCTCCCGGGGACTTCAACATGAGACTGCGACTCTGCGAGTCTCTTGATTGTCTGGTTGGTGGTGCAATAACCATCTTGAAAAATATGAGTTCGTCAATTGGAAGGATTATCCCATATATTATGGAACATAAAGAATGTTTGACACCACCAACCAGTTGTATTTTGATTGTTTGATCATAAAAAAACTGGCACATCCGTAAAAATAATATCTTGATTGAAAATAAACATCAAGATTCTGCACAACATAGTTGTGAACAATAATTAACACATGGACATCCGCTTGACTACCCAAATCATTAGCAGCATTGGACACATTCAGAACCTGAGAAGAAATGCACAAATAATCCATGTACCTGCAACAAAGGGCCCTCCAAGTAGATAGATTGGCATACAACCATGCTCGCTTGGAATGAATATCAGTTGAATGGGTTTATATATCGCAACTTCTCCAAGTTTTCAGCAAAACTGCTAGCAGTTTAAGGACCATAAAGGACCATAAATCAGAAAACAATGGTCTAATCCAACTGTGGTGCTTCCCCAAGTGTAGACATTGCTGCCGTGCGACGGGTGCTTCCGCCAACTGTAGACATCCTTGATGATGGGTGCAGAGTCCTGGGCCAAGGTCCCGACCATGGTGCCATGCCTCATCTGCTTGGTGGTTTGGTAAAACAACCCCCCTGAAAAAATGATGGAGTGAAAGTCAGATTTTTCAAAAAATCATCCCAACTCTTAGGGAAGTCATAAAATTCTATGGTTCCAGTCACCAACCAGCCATTTGTTTCTCCCAAAACCATGGATAGTTCATGACCAATTCACCACGGTGGGTGACACCGAGTTTACTCGGGATCTGGGAAGCCCCCACGCCGAAGCTGATGTTGTAGTGCACTTCACCTCGACAACAGTTGCACCATGGAAAAAAAAACCGTTGCGAATATGAAATAAACCATTTCAATCCATTTCTTGTTGTCACCCAAATATGGGACTCAAAATGATGAGATTCAATACTTAATCAGGATGACTCTAGCGGGAAAGTATGGCAGAAAGACGCACACGAAGGAGAAATTTGACTAGAAAAAGATACAGTAAACATGTCTGGCAGTCTGGTTTTGAAACCAATATATTATATATATATATTATATTATATTATATATATATATTATATTATATTAATTATATATATATATTATATATTATATATATTATATATATAATATAATATAATATAATATAATATAATATATATATATTATGTGCTGATAAGTATCAAGAAAAACACAACTTTGACTTTGACCAACGGCCGGGCAGAAAACCTTGGTGAAAACCAAGGACTATTTTGCCACCCAGCAACACCAAACACAACACATTTTCACAGCTGGGGATGGAACCAATGAACAGTGGACACTAATTGGACATATATCTGGGTAAATTTTAGAACATATTTCACTAACCTGAATTGTTGGGCCATAAAAGGGGATTATTTCCCTGAATCCTAACCATGATATATGTCTCAAACAGCAAGTCGATTGGATACTGGTCCGATGGGGATGCTGGCTGTTTGGAAAGTCGATTCGATGAGACTCAAGTTTTGATCGTTCAACTGCCATTGGGCCATTGTTTCCCAAACTTTTCAACGAATTTTTGTTGAATTTCAATGCAATAAATTGCTTGCGGAAGTCCACATGTTTGGTGACAAGTGAAATCATGTGAAATCCCACAAGTTTCCAAAATCCCGTACCTCGCATGGACTCTGGAAGCTTCAAAATGGCAACCTTGAGAGCCTAGAGCGACTGGAGAAGTTTATGGCATGTGAAAGGGATCTATGCGATCTTATGTGATTTTCAAAAAAAAGGATGTCACGGCAAGCCGCCAGACCTGTAGGTGGAACTACTTTGAGTGGGAGGTGTGTTTTTCGACAAACTAACATAAAATGGCGATATTGTCCGCGACAAGCACAGACACTGGCAGGTCCAAACGACCCATTCCTGCCAGAAATTAAAGTTTGTCTCCAAATGCAAAATCACCAATCAATTTGAGGGCACCCCTATCACCAGTTGGTTTATCCACTTAATAATGTCAGCATGTGGCTTGGTTAAACACTGAATTTCAACGACATATCTATTGTTCATGCTAGTTTATATATATGTTCTGTCTCATTGCTGCTTAGATTCATTTTTCTCCCAGGGGCCCAACTCACCAGTTTTCGCTTGATCCATTGTTAATAATGTCAACCGCACCAAACCACAAACGGCTGTTTAATTGGGGGGCACCATAGAAGTACCGGATTATGACTGTTTGGGGGAGTACCCCTCAATAATCATAGACCAAGGTTAAAACCTGCTTTAATCATTTTTCAGACAGGAGCGCCTCTTGGACACGTTCGTCCATGAGCTTTTGCACTGCGCCTGGCTGATGGCGCGAGGGTTTGTTTTTTTGGGGCATATAATGGTACAAGATGGTACACGTATATAGTGTTGAGCCATTCCCACAGACTATCCCAGTCGTGCTTTTTCAAGTTGGACACCTCGGGGATTTTCCGAACAACGGTGGATCCATGATGAAAAAGAGTATGAATGGCCAAGGGTGGAATAATGAACAGCACCCTGGATATGAATTCGATCATCCCAGCGACCTTCATTGCCGTCAAACTAATGCTCCGCCGATATGGGGTAGTTTGGTGGCTGTTATACATCGCCACAAAAAAACAAGATATATTCATCATTTACTGGTTGGTGGTGCTATTTCACCATCTTGAAAAATGATGGAGTTCGTCAATGGGAAGGATGACATCCCATATATGAAATGGAAAATAAAACATGTTCCAAGCCACCAAGCAGTAGATGAACTTCCCAGCTAAACCTCCCAGCTATAGCTCAGGGATTTTCCAGCTATGGAGCTGCCAAAGGACATGCTCCGGTGGAAAACTTGTGGTGTTTTTGTGAGGCATACGGGACCAACATGGCACTGCAAAGCACATGCTGCAAAACTCCATGAAACTCCATCGTATTTCATCCTGTTGCCATATATTTCCCTGTTTATCCTGTTTGAAAGTGATTTAGGCAATGAAAACTTGCAGAGTCAATCGAAATTGGGCGTCACTTTCTAACAATGTCATTACCTTTTCGGCAGCTTCTATCAGCTTACGTTTACTTTCACACAACTTTCCTTACAGCTCTCAACTCTGACAAATGCGGTCAGATTTTGAGACCCCGCGAACCCAACAACTGCAGATGTTGGTCGAGGAAGATCAGAAACACATGATGGTTTAATGTGGTTTAATGCATTTTGATGGCCATTCGCGGTCATTCTCAACATTAAACCACATTAAACCATCCCACTTTCACTCCAGGTACCCCAAGAAAGAACTAGGTGCCGAAGCCGCCTGACAACTTCGGCCACACCATTTCCTGGGTGTCAGCATTTTCATCACCAAACTTTTTGAGCTGGTTTGTAGATACCAAATGGCCATAGAAATAGTGAGTTTTCCCATTAAACATGGTGATTTTCCAGTTCGTTATGTAAACGTTTACCAGAGGGTAGCTGTATTTCCATCAAATTGGCAAGAAAGTATACACCGCATTTAAGTAAGGTTTATCATGGTTTACCCACTTGTGATTCTTAAGACTTGGACTTGGGAAGAAAATCGCGTTCTTTCAGTTGACATTTCCCTGAGACAACGCATCCATGACAGAGGAATCGAATGTGACCTTTACTCAAATCATTTAATAACGTCTCCTATGACCTTCAAACAGCCAGAACTATACCTAAACCCGTTTTCAGTTGTTAGCAAATGATGAAAGGAACTACTTGGCTATTCAGTGAAATTCCCGCATTTCCGTTGATGTGTAACATCTACCCCGCATCCAAAAGTAAGATAGAACTGAGGGTACAGCCAACACTTTGTGTGGTCCTAGTTGAATTTCACTATCCATCCTGGGTGCAAGGGAGGATAGGACAAAAAATAAAGTCTCCTCCAACCGCCTGGCGGCCCTTCATTTGCATACAGTTGCTAGAAAGAAAGAACCATGTTTAACGTATTTTCAATATCAATAAGGCTTCATTATTCAGGTTTGATGTTAGATTTCCAATCTTGGGGCCATTCAAAAAACGCGTCCATTTTTCAGGGCATCGGACCTTGACCTTCTGTGATAACACAAACTCGGGAGATCATCACATCATCAGGTGCCCATTCTTAGGCCAGGCTAGGCACGAAGATCTGCAGGACATCCCCGCATTTTCTGCGCAATCACTATTGCCAAGCTTCGCAAAAGGACGTGAGAAAGCCACTGACCAGGGCGGGTTCCCGCTTGAAACGTCCTGGCGGCGAAAGCAGCGAAACCGACATCTGGAAAGCTGGTCACTAGGATCATCACCTTCCAAAGACAAAACACATTTTCCAACTTTTTGGAGCTCTATCATCGATGGCGACTTCAAGCAAAGCTCAATAAACCTCATATCACCCACAGAAATTGGCTACCCATTACCTGGCATGTCCTCGGTTTTCAGCCAAATTTTTCCTAAACGCTCGATTTTCCACCCCCGATATCCCCAAAGCTGGTTGGAGTATATCTCCACGGTATTCCTCTCGAAATATCATGAAAACACCATGATATTCAGTTGGGAACATTTTAATTCCCTTTAACATTGTGAACATGTTCAGAACCTTTAAAGTCACCAATTCTTGTTTTCTTATGTTTACAATATCATATCATCATCACCACTAACTTCGAGTTTCCATAATTTTTCACCATTTTTCATGGCCGATTTCTAGAATTCACCGCCATAGAAACGATGGTTTTTCAAATGCTCGGTCCGAGTCCAGAAACGCTGGCGCCACAGGGATCCGTCTGGAGACGCTTGGGGAAGCAGGGTGCCCTGGTCTGCGGAAAGGGCAGCAACTCCTGGGATAGGGAGAACAGATCTGGGTAAATTTTAGAACATATTTCACTAACCTGAATTGTTGGGCCATTTGGGGATGATTTCGCTTATTAAGTATGATTTCCAGTGAGGGAGAACAGTGAGGTCGTTATAATTTACCCAGACAGATGGGACAAAACAGATGGGATGTAATTATTGCCAGGAGTTTTTGACAATTGGGATGAAAATCGGTTAGTTCTGTTACTAGGGATTATTGCCAGATTATAGTAATTTTTGTGTAGTATCCCTATTATAGGGATACTAACAGAACTAAACCGATTTTATTTTGTTCAAAAAATAGGATATTGGGATGATCATGGGATATATTTATTCTTTTTTGCATCGGCTCGGGAGAAATGGTGAAATGGTGGAGAAAAACACTCCACATGGCCATGAAATTGGAGATTGCCCACGTAACGTGATGGGGAATGATGGGATTTCATGCACACAAAAATAAGACCCATGACAGTTAGGAATTGAAATTATCAATGACAATCATTATTCCATCATTATTCCAGAATTTCATGTCATTCCTGATAATTGACCAGAATTCAATCCACTATAAATGGCCATTTTCAATAGCAAACTGTTAGTTTACCAGAGGGTAATCAAACTGAAACAAGCCACTGGCAGCAATGATACACCGACTGTCTCTTCACCGTGGCTGAAGTCGGCGCCAACTTTGACTTATCGTACGGAATTAGGGCATGTCTGGGTCACAAAAATAGTACCCTCTGGTTATGTCAAAATAGCTATTGAAAATGACCATTTATAGTGGATTTACCCATTAAATATAGTGATTTTCCATAGTTATGTAAACGTTTACCAGAGGGTAAACTCCATCATTTTAAGGTTCACTCACATAGTGATGCTGATTCCTAGCCTGGGGCTTTGTTGCTAAGTGCCCTTATTACGTGGTCGGTTTCCAACGTTTGGCAACAATCAAATCAACAAGAGTAGCCACCAGACGCCATCGCCATAGCGTTTGTCCAAGAACGGGGGAACCTCCCATTTCAATCGGAATTACCCTCTGGTTATTTAACAGTTCGCCATGGAAAATGGCCCATTTACAGATTATTTTCCCAGCTATAGACCTCCATTTATGGTTGGGATTTTCCATGGCTATGTTAGTCATAACCAGATGGTAACCTCACTTTCATCATCCCTAATCCTTGGTGATATGCCCATTGCATCCAATTGTATCGCCATGAGTGCTTAGTCTAATCCCCATCGCGCTAGCATGCGCATATCCCTTCGTTAGATCCCATTCGCAGCATTTGTTTCCCGAACATCATCCATAGTTGTTGGGATAAATCATGATAAATCCTCACAAATCATTCCATTTATAATTCCCAGCATTTAATCATGTTTCATCTTTTTTCAGATCAATTCAAAAAAAACATCCACCATTTTTGAGCTTAACTGGTTGGTGGTTGAGCCACCCCTCTGAAAAATGATGGAATTCGTCAGTTGGGATGATTATTCCATTCCCAACTGAATGGAAAGTCATAAAATTCATGTTCCAAACCATCAACCAGATAGATATATGTTGTCCCCTCAGGAAAAAACCATTGGGGCCGGTGTGGTCTTGTATTTCTTATCCTCTACCAAAACAGGGTTGTTTTTCAATGGGGGAAGGATCTAATGTGGTGCACCCAATACTTAATTCATTTTATGGTCATCTTTGCCGCAAAAGGCCATCCTCATCCATGGAAGATCGTCGCCTCGAAGAATCCACCGTGACCTTTGACAATCCAACCGTCGGTTTCTTCGTCGGTATGTTTTCTGGTTGTTATTTAACAATCCATGGGATATTGCTGGTATGGGGAATATGATATGTATATATACTATATATATATATATTCACCTTATATATATATATAAATAATATAACTATATATATATATTATATAATATAACAGCAATAATATATATGTATATATCACCATTGCTGGCTGTTTTTTTTGCAGAATCATGCCATTTTTGGTCTTACCCAATTTCTACCCAAAGCAACAATAGCAGCGGCCCGTCAACGCCCACATCAAAATCCTGCAGATACTGACTGTTTCATTGGGATTTTGATCAACTAGTGATAATTTCTGATATTTTAGTCTGTTGCGATTGCCGTTCCTGTTTCGAAGACTTCTCACTTTCCTTTGTACTCTTGGTTGTTTACATCATTTTACATCCACATTTCTCATCATTTCTCCATTCATAGTTGATTTACATCTGTGACTCTCCAACATTTCACAATTTTCACACAAGTATGGTCCCCTTTTGATGGCGACATTGGCCATTGGGGGTCGCTCCCTACATCCAAAAAAATCAGCAACCATCTCCGGAAACTCATCTCAAACAGTGGGTAAATAAATGCAATAATGACACCAACCGGGAATGCCATATATGCCACATACATGGGTTGATATGTTTATAATTGTTTATATTGGCTTGTGTTAACAAATGATGATAATTCCCAACGCCACGCCTCGCTTCTCGGACTGACGTTCGCCTGACCATTGAGTGTCAGACAACTTGGGAGGTTCACAAGTGAAACACAAATAAAGTTTGGAGTTCAAACATTACAAAATGTGGATCATTTTTCCGGTTTGAGTGGCAAATCACTAGAATTCTTGTCGATATGACATTTTCTGAGACTTAGCCCGCCAAACCCCCATGATTTGTATTGTGGTACCCACTTGCGATGGCTGAGGTAAAAACCAACATTTTTGTTGGTTCACACCCTCATCAATATACCCTTCAGCAATTTTACATAGCTATAGAAAATTCGCCCCTTCCAAAAAATAATTCTTCCATGATTTACCTCTTAAAAAATCATGATTTTCAGTGATTTTTCATCGTTTTCCATGGTTTTTGTCACTTAAATATGATACAAGGCACGGAGTCATCGGCACCCACACGGTTGTAGCCGTACCAGGCGTTGGCCAACGGACCGAAGGAGCACACCGCGTTGAGGTCGCCTGTTGATGGATTTTTGTGGGATTTTCCACCATGGGCAACCAACAAAAAATGGGATTTTCATCCAGAAGAATCGGGAGCTAATTTTCAGTTTAGCGAACTTTTTTTTATGGGAATTCAAATGGGTTGAGCCAATACAAATGACGTTTGACATTGATGGTTCGATTGAAATATTTCAGGATATTGCAGGTACCTCAATTGAGGATTGATAAACATTGGGATAGGTGATTGGTTCAACCCGCAAAAGTTAGAGATTCTGTGGGAATGTGATTGTTATAAGTTATTCTAAGCTGGATAAGCTATGCCATGAATGGTGGAATGTTAGCCTCATTTTTTGTGTGGTGAGAGGAGATTCTACGGGAACATATGGTATAGTATATATAGTATTATATAGTTCATCATATTGACAGAGGAGTTCCAGTAAATTGGCGCAACCCCCGTGAGAGAATAATAAGTCTGTAGCCACTCGGTATCACACCGCTAAGATCTCTCGGAGGAGCAGCGGGGTCTGCGTCGCGGTTTGGTTCTCGAAGTTCTGCAATTCTTGGTTCTTCTCGCCACTTTTTCTGCCAGTGGGCCAGTAACATCTTCATGCGGAAGCATCGTTTCTCCCCGATCATTTCTGCGTCTTGACGATCCCAGGGATGCAACAGGGGAAGAATAAGCATGAAAATGCCATGAAATGGGAATTCACTATCATAACCTAATTATTCGAAGGAAGTTTAGAAGTCAAACTTCCGACAATATGGACAGATGAAAAGCAGAGCAGGGCAGAGGCAGAGAGAAGAGAAAGGTTACTATGGTGCCAAAAAAAGTTAGTAACTGGGTTATAACCTAGGGTTATATCCCAGTTACTAAGTCATAACTTCTTAGCTAACTTTTTGTAACTTTTTTTTTGCTATAAAAAAAGTGTCTTTAAAAGTGATCAAATTTTGATCTTTTTGATGATTTTGAGTGTTTGCTGTTTGAAGCGTTTTCAACTGCTCAAAAAAATGCCAAATGGAGCGGTTTTCAAACCTCTAAAAACTATTTTTGTTGGAACAGCCGTTTTCAGCATGTCAAACACTATAATTAATCACGTGTTAAAACCCAAACTGTGAATGAAGATGTGTTCATGTCCACTAGAGAGGATGTATTGCTTGAAGAAGTGTCCAGGTGTTCACTTTACCTTGGCTAAATGCTGCAGAGTCCCTTTGACAAAACTCAATTTTTGCAGGATATCCTAGATGTCTTCAACGTAATTACAATATACATCAACATACCCATACCTGCCAACAAATGCATGCAGTATTCAAAACAGAAATGCAGCATACCCTTCTTCATAAGTGCAATCTTCCTTTGGAGCAACGCAGTGTGTTTTTGCAGAACAATATCCCTATGAAATATCAAATGTTCCTTTAAAAGATACACCATGCCCTTTGGAGGAGTACAGTGTGCATTTAACAAAATTTCCTTTGAAAGGGGTCCTCAAGGTGAAAGGGGTCCTGGCCTAGAAGCCTCCAAGATTAATTTCGACCGAGTTTTTGCCTCTGTATGAAAAACTCGGTCGAAATTAATCTTGGGGGCTTCGCGCGCATAAGGAACATTCTTGGCCAGGACCTCTTTCACCTTGGGGGCCCGTTTCAAAGGAAATCTTGTTATTTCCACATGTCTAACCTTCCTTTCAAAGGAGCAGTATCCCTTTTAGAAAAGTCAATATTGCTGCACAATATGCTGTATTTTTGACATAGAGCATCCCTTTCAAAAGTGCAATATGTTTTGAAATGTGAGATTTTTTCAGAATGTTTTTTCGCTCCTTACAACAGAGCATTGTCCTTTATGGCAACACAATCTTCCTTTGAAAAAACAGCATCCGTGGAAACCTGGACTACTGTTCATTGATATATGTATCTAATCTACTCTAATCTAATCCAATTCAATCCAATCCAATCCAATCCAGAGATATCTCATCTATATAATCCAATCCAATCCAATCAAACCCAAACAAATCCAATCCAATCCAGTCCAATCCAATCCAATCCAATCAATCCAATCCAATCCAATCCAATCTATCTAATCTAGCCAAATCAAATCTAATCCAATCCAATCCTATCCAATTCAATCCAATCCAATCAAATCCAATCTATCTAATCTAATCTAATCCAATCTAATCCAATCCAAGCCAATCCAATCCAATCTAATCTAATGTAATCTAATCTAATCTAATTCCAATCCAACCCAATCCAATCCAATCTAACCTAATCTAATTTTAATCCAATCCAATCCAGTCCAATCCAACCCAACCCATCCCAATCCATTCCAATCCAATCCAATCTATCTAATCTAATCTAATCTAATCCAATCCAATCCAATCTAACCTACTCTAATCTAACCTTATCTAATGTAATTTCAATCCAATCCAATCCAACCCAATCTAATCTAATCTAATCTAATTCCAATCCAATCCAATCTTATTGAAGTGCTGTAAAGGCCTCTGTGGTATATGGGTGGGATATATTGAGATATACTAGGGGAAACTGGGGTTTACTTGGGGATACTACGGTATACCATGGTATACTGGTATACCATGGTATACTGACCGTATACCATGGTATACTGACCGTATACCATGGTATACTGACCGTATACCATGGTATACTGACCGTATACCATGGTATACTGGTGGTATACTGGTGGTATACTGGTGGTATACTGGTGGTATACTGGTGGTATACTGGTGGTATACTGGTGGCACACTGGTGGTATACTGGTACACTCCCTAATCCAATCCAATCCAATCCAATCCAATCTAATCTAATCTGATCCAATCCAATCCCAATCCAATCCAACCCAATCCAATCCAATCCAATCCAACAACCCCATCCAATCCAAATCCAATCAAATCCAATCCAATCCAATCCTAACCTAATAAACTAATCTAAGCTAATCTAATCCAATCTCTAATCTAATCTAATTCCAATCCAATCCAATCCAATCCAATCCAGTCTAATTCCAATCCAACAAAACCAAATCCAATCCAATCTAACCTAACCTAATCTAATCTAATCCAACCCAACCCAATCTAACCCAACCCACTCAAATCCAATCTATCTAATCTAATCTAATCCAATCCAATCCAGTCAAGTCCAATCTATCTAATCTAATCTAATCCAATCCAATCCAGTCCAAACCAACCCAACCCAATCCAATCCAATCCAATCCAAGCCAATCCAATCTATCTAATCTAATCTAATCCAATCCAATCCAGTCCAAACCAACCCAACCCAATCCAATCCAATCCAAGCCAATCCAATCTATCTAATCTAATCTAATCCAATCCAGTCCCTCACCCAATCCAATCCAAAGCAAGCCAAGCCAATCCAATCTATCTAATCTAATCTAATCCAATCTAATCTAATTCAATCCCTCAGTCCCTCACCCAAACCTGTAAAGACCTCTGTGGTATATGGGGACGTCTCAAAATGAGGCGCGCCTTTTTTGACCCCCAAAACGCTACTTAAAAAAAAAGGGCTCGCCTCATTTTGAGACATTCCCATATGGGTGGGATATATTGGGATGTACTAGGGGAAACTGGGGTTTATAGTCAGCAATGTCAATATCAAAAAACGTACTCATTGGCTGCCTTTGTTTTTTCATAGTCTTCTGGCATGTTTTCAAAAATAAGTCAAAAAAAAATTGCTTAATCCATGCCCCAAGCCCCTAACATTCCCCCAAGGATACCTGTTTTTCCTTGGTTTTTACATGGTTTCTAATGGACCCAGAGACCTAAAGCAAGCAGAAACAACCACAAACAAATTTGCAATGCCTAAGGGGGGAAAAGTGGCAAAGAGTTAGATCCTGCCACTTTTTTTGCCAGTCCCTCAAAATAACAACGAACCAAAAAAGCAAAACACCAAAAAAAAAAACAACAACAAAAAAAAACAAGATTGCACACCCCAAGGGGAGGGGGTCAGATGCAGTTTGTTGGGTCTTTTTTTTGTTTCTTGTTTTTTTGTTTTTTGTTTTTTTTTGTCTTTGTAAAAAGAAAAGAAACTGCAAAGGTGAGATTGCAAAGAGCAAACTAACCCATTGCAGGTGCACAAAGCACCTAAAAAGGCGCGCTCCCACAGTGGCCTGTTCTGTTTAAAAACCAGTTGCACATTCCCTCAGCCATGGAAGCGATGAAAACCGCGATTTTTTCTAAAAAAACAACTTCGAAGCGGCTCAACCGCTATAATTAGAAAAACTATTGTTTTCGATACACTAAAAACAAGTGTTTTTTTCAATTTTTCTAAGTTATAAAAATGTGCTAAAATTGTTGATATTTTCTTCACTTCATAACTTTTCATAACTTTTTGTATAACTTCAGTTATAACCAGTTACTAACTTTTTTTGGCACCATAGTAGAAGAAA